ATTTCATCCTGAAATACTGTAATACCCCTGATATTATTGTTTAGGGTTTGTTTAGAAAAATGAGGGTTGACGATATTTTCCTACACTTTCCTTTTTGCAAAATTTTACAAACACATATAAAAACAGGAGTAACCAACATAAGTACAAGAGAGCAACCAAGAAGAAGAACGAACAACAAATAAGACGAAGAAGAAAAAGGAACCAAGGATTAATTAAGTAGAGATATATAGTACATAAGTGTATACTATCAGGTTACCTTAGATTAGGGATATAGATATATAGATATATAGGAATATTACATCTAGAGATATAGAAAGAGTCTATATCTTATATCTATCCAAGTGGAAATATTATTGAGATTTTAATAAGAACTACTGTTATCAGAAACACATAACCTCAGGGTTATTATAGTTATTACAATTACAAAAACAAAGTGGACGAGTCCGGAATCGAACCGAAGACCTCTCCCATGCTAAGGGAGCGCGCTACCAACTACGCCACACGCCCAAAAGTGCTGCTAACTCCCTGGAAAGACAAGAATGTTATTAATAAAACTATTAATTGAGAAATATAGAAAAAGATAATATTTTTAAAGCTTATAATCATATTTTGTAACACTTTTCTAAATATATATTTATTTTGTGTATATAAATTAAGTAAAAAGTGTTAAAATCAATAATATAATGTATTCTAAACAGAATATCTAATAAGTATACATATTAAATCTAAATAAAAATTAAATAAGTTTCTAATTTGATAATGAAAATGATTCATAATTGCAGTGGAAGTCCTAAACTCTATTAATTTATATATCTTTGTTTGATATTTCTGGTATTTGTCTGTATACTTATATTATGTTTGCTTATTTTTTGTGTATGGTGGAGACTATTTTATATTTATTTAAAAAACATGTAAAAAATCTCTAACTTAAAAATTATCAATTCTTATAAGAAACTAACTTCAAAAAAAAAAAATTTTATGATATTATAAAATTTATTTTAAATTGTTGAAATATGATTAGAGTTATGTTTGATAATCTAAATTCACCATACTAAGTGATTAAAAGTTATGAAAATTTATATTAAAGAAAATTCGAAGATAAAATGGGTATACTGTATAATATCGTATCTTGTATATTACTTATGTAAAAAGAAAAAGACCAAGCAATACAATAACAATTTATAGTACCACTAATTTCCTACTATAAATAACAATAAAACTTATAATACCACCAATATCCTATTTTAAGTTACATTACTGTATTATATTAGTTTAAAATGAACTCTACTAGAATTTTTGATTCCGAAGCCTTGCGTCAACATAAATAACAGACTTATATTGTTGAGATATTACCCAGACTCAATGAAAATTTTGTGAAAAATTTTTTTTTTCAAACTTATCTTTCTGAAAAGTATAAATGGTCAAGATATAGAAATCAGAAATAATTTCTTTTACTCACGACTTTATATACGCAATACATAGTTTTGTATATAATATATGTATTATTTAATACTGTGAGCGATTACTTATAAAAATACGGTTCATAAAGTTCCCTTATAACTTATAGGTTATTACTCTACACCTTTTAAATTTCAAAATATATACAAATTCTAATTATATATAAATACAGACAAAATTTTCAGTTGCTGATTCTGAATAATAAATAAATTATATTCTTATTTTCATTCTTATTATACTAATATCTCTTAGGTAAAATACAACAAATATTATTAAGAATTATCACTTGTATACATTTGATATATTAAATAAATTCTCAATGATATTTATTATGTGGTTAATAATATGCAAAATTCTAATAAAATTCTTTATTCTTATTATCTATATATGCTAAAATCGAATATTCTAGAGTAAATAAATAGACAAATTAAATTTTTTGCAAATATAAATCTATACTAAAATGCAAAGAACATATTGTTTATTTATTAATACCTTTAGACAAAACAAATTAATAAATTTTTGCTGTGTGTTAAAAAAAAAATGAATTTTAACATAAATAAAACAAAAGTTTTTTTACATTATATATTTATCATTACAGATTTTTTCTGTAATATTATCTTTGTATTGCACAAACAGAGGATGATGGAAGAAATTACCGCTAAACTTGAACATTCTAAAATAAATAACTGAGCCAATTCAATTGTAGCAAATTTAAATTGATAAAAAACTGTGGATAATGCATTATTTGCTTATCAATAGATATAAACAAACCTTATAAATAATTTGGTGCCGTACGTAGACGAAATGTACCAGATATGAAAATATATAAAGCCAACGCTTTTTTTATATCATGTTTCTTCCCTTGTTTATCTTTTATAGTCACCCTTATATATTATATATAAATAAAAAAACCAAAAAACCTAATTATAATTTTATATACTATATCTATCTAATATAATATTAAGAATGTTTACTATACACTCATTTACTATAGGCACTAATTCTTAACAATTACATATAGTTATTCTTGGAAAGTAGTGGTATTTGTATTTAATACAGTTATGACTTAACTTATTAATAAATTGGATCTCCGGTTTATTAAAAAGCTATGCATATAATATAGATAAGTTAATAAGTTTATAGATAAATATAAATTGATCTCTCTTCTTTTGATTCTCTTAAAATTTTTCTTGAAAAATATTTATTTTTCTCTTTTAATTCTCATTATTAACGACATAATAAAACAGTCTTTAATAGAGAAACCTAATAGATATACTGTCTATGTTCTAACAGTTTTATATACAATAAATATGTTATAATAATAATTGAGAATGTGTACTACAGATTAAGTAAATAATGGCACTAATTCTTAACAATTATAACAGTGTATAACAATAAGAAATAAAACCTGTAAATAAAAAAAATAATACAAAAAGAAATTTGGCTTTGTATATTTGAATATACTGATTAATTTTCTTCTGGGAACAACTAAAAAAAAATAACCAAATAGTTTCATTTATATTTATTCATAAGTAAACAATAATTATTTAGCAATATACTGTTTAACATCAATCAAAACCTTGATATTCTACTTAATTCAACCTAAAAACATCTTATTTTGACAATTTTATTATATACAATTATGCAACTGCATAAAATGGTTTACAAACTGTAAACTGTGCATTATACAGATATTTTTTCAAGGAATTGTCCAGTTCCTAAATCTATACAGTCTTATTCCCATATATCATACTTCTTTAACTCTTTTATATCACTAATGAAAAACAACGTTATTTTTTTGGTAATCTGTTATTTCTTTCTTTATTCAAGAAAAAGTCTTTTGCATTTTTCTATTTTAATTATTCCCTATTTCTCAAAAAAAATTTACACCTATATATGTGAATTAAATTCTAAAGCTGATTGATTCATTGTGCACGTTGTTTAAACACTGCAAAGTAATTTATAATATCTAGAAACTGAAAGAAAAAAATATATATTGTTCATTTATCAACTTCAATTAGACGCGATAAATTAAGAAATCTGTTTTTAATCTATTAGTAAAAATTATTGTATAAATTAATGATATTAAAATTTCCCTATTTTTTTTTACATGTTTTGCATATATTATCACAACAAACACATATAAATAACTATATCTTATTTCTCTCTCTCTTCTTTCTTATTTATTATTATTGAGAACAAACTCTCAAACTAGTTTCAAAATGAAATTAATCTACCAAAATTGTAACGATATAAATCCAGTTAGTATCTTATTGTTGTCTATCATTCTTTTAATCTAAGCTAAGACAAATTACAGCAGAGAAATGTTATACCCAAGAAAACAAAAAAAAACAACTTTAACAAAAATATGAATATCCAAAAAGTTGAATGGACTTTTGAAAATAAGGAGAAAAAAAGAAATAAAAGATTTACTGACCCTAAATAAAGTCACTGCTATTCGATACTTTAAAAATCAATTTAGAAAACCATAGACAAATTGCGTATTTAAAATCCATTACGAATCTTTCACGAACTGAGGATGTACAAATCCTTATATTCTTCCTATTATGGTAAGATTCTGTTGGAAAATGAGAGTTTATTACTGTCATTTCCATAAGAATTATTTTTAATTAGTTTTTCTGTATATTATGTGGTGTACGGATGTACATAATATCAGGAAGACATTTTATTTTTCACCAACAGTATTTTTCAGAGATTTGAAAAGGAATGAAAAACTTTAAAAGAAAACTTGAAGTAAATAAAAGAATGTATACTGAATACACTATATAATAAATATGTACATGTATTTAGTATAAAATAGAACAAGCATCTATAACTTAGTGATGGATACCATTACCATGGATGCTGAAGTCTCCAACTTCCAACATGGTAGCCTCGCCAATGTAAATCCTAGAACTCAATCATGACTAGAGTTGCTTCAAACCAAACTTGAACTATTAAATAAAAAATCAAAACAAATCAATGCTAAGGAAAATGGCTTACTAAATGATGATAATATCGATATTAATGACTTAGACAAAGAGTTAAAGAAATATCAAAACATTAGACAAACTCTTAATAATATTATTTAAGAAGCTGAAAACGAAATAAAAATCATAAAGGAAAACTACACAAAGGATGGACATGACAACACAACAAATATTAACTATGAAACAAATACTTTCAAATTCACTAATCATGTTAAAGAAGAAGATTTAGAATTGAATATAGTCAAGAATAAAAAGAAATTATCAAACATATTATTCATCAAAAGTGATGAAAATGGAAAATTTTATGAATTTTCAAAATTAAATGGAGAAACTAATAAATTTTATTTTGAAGTCAATGAAAATAATGTTCCAAAACTATTGAAAATGGAAGACTTTGCTGAATGGGCAAATGAATTGAAAGGTTTTTTGGAAGAATGGAACACGGATGATATCACCAAACTAAAAATTGAAGACAAAATTTCTAACATTGAAAATGCTATAATCAAAAGAATTTTAAAAAACACAGTAGACAAGAGTATCTAAAACTTTGACATGTACTCCAATAATGTGATTGAAATGTATAATATAATTAAAGAACAATTCCTGGATATGTATCAAAGGAAGGTAAAGGATAATATTTGGAAACGCATTAAAATTGACCAGTTTTGTACTGATAAATACAAATACAAGAGAACAATCCAAAAAATGCAATTGTTGGAAGTTTGGAGCTTTCGCGATACTGATCCAGAAAAAATAACATACTCATTTATTAACAAAAAAATTGAAAACACCATAGAAGATAACTTAAGGCACTTATTGTTTGAATATATGATGTACAATAACATCAAACCCTCTTATTTGATGGACCCAAATGAATATGTAGATGCAATAATAAACACAATTAAAAATATAAAGATAAAAAGGGGAAGTATTGAAGAAAGACTAAAATTTTGCGACTTTTATAGATCAAACTTTCATCATCCAAAAAATTGTCCCAATAAATATAGACTTAAGCCTAGTACAACAAAACCACAAATTAATTGGACAAGAGTCAGAAAAATTGTATAATAAAGTTAAAAAAATTAATTTTCACCAAGACAAAATACTTAATAAAAAACAAGAAAAAAAATTACAAAATCAAAAAATACAAAAAAAAAATTATTAGTCATTACAACAATAATAACATTGTAAACAACTCCAAAGTACAAGAAACTGCTACTATACCAAATGTTAATAATAAAATACAAACAAAAGAATCAACCTTACAAAACAATAAAAAGATAAGAAAAACATACTCAAAAAATAAAACTAATGACAAAGGAGTTATTAATATAGCTGCTGATATACATCTGGTGCACAATAAAGACTGGTTATTAAACTTTTTACCATTAATAAAAGGACCAGAACATTAGGGTGTAGGGGATGATAAAAACCCAATAGAAATACTTGGAGAGGGGATATTACCAATCAAAGTAGGTGGAAATAAAGTGATTGGTGTTATAGCATACTATTCTCCAAAACAAGATGCAACAATTTTATCTGCAAATAAGCTATATCAAGAAACTGGAATTACTTTAGACAAAGGATATGAATCGCTAGTGAACAAAGAAAATGAGTTTGATACGAAAACCTTAAAATTAGGAAACACCATATGGGTCGATACAGATAAAATTATAGCTGTCAAGAAGACTGATAAGATAATTAGAGCAGTTAAACTTATTAATCCATTAGCGATAAAACCTAATATTACACTTTTAGAAGCTCACTTACGTTTAAATCATTTTTCAGCCAGTGGAATCATAAAATCAATAGAAATGAACAATTTTGATGATGTGAAAATGATAAATGATAAAAAAAATTCTAAAAATATTTGGTGTGAGATATGCGCTTCAGGTAAATTACATCAACACTTTCATTACACTGGTTCTATGAATCACTACACTTCACAAAAGGAACCAGGTGCTTCTTGGAGCTTGGATATATTTGGTCCTGTTGAGCATGTTAAAGAAAGATATTTACTCATAATGGTGGATAGTGTATCGAGATTTATTATTGCAACAACCCATATCAAGAAAAATAAAAATGAAATAGGAGAACAAATTGGATACAATATAAATTGGATTGAAAAACAATTCGATGTAAAAGTTAAAGAGTTAATCATGGATAGGGGTAAAGAGTTTGACAATCACGTAGTTGAAGAATTAGCTCACGAAAACGGTATTAATATTATATATACTTCTACTGAAGATCACCAAGCTAATGGAAGAGCTGAAAGAGGTATAAGAACAATTATTGAGGACACAAGAACATTATTGCTACAATCAAGACTTCCCTTAAGGTTTTGGACATATGCAGCTAAAGCTTCAGTGAATGTGAGAAACTGCGTATATAACAAAAATGTTGGAGAATCACCATTAATGAAAATATCAAAACATAAAGTGAAAATTAAATTAAGATCATTCATACCATTTGGTGCCCCAGCTATGATATGGGATTACAGAAGCAGAAAAACAGAAGCACCAGGAAAAAGGGCTATAACACTATCCAAGGATCCAAAAGGTTTTGGATATTATTTTTATGTACCAAAAGAAAAAAGAGTGATAAGTACCACAAATTATATATTACCAGATTATACAATAAATCACAGTTTAAATGAGAAGAAAGGATATGATATTATTGGTACATTTTTACATGAGGTCAAAAACAAAATTGGAGATATAAATGACATTGATTATGACGAGAATGAAATAGTAACATTGTTACCATCAGATTTTGAAAATGAACATGATAATCTGGTAGATGTTTTACACGAAGATGAAATAAGAGTTAAAGAACATTTACTAAATGACATCCAAGAAGAAATTAACGATGTAACGCCAATTATTGAACCTAGAAGCATAGAAAATATTAAATTAGATGAATTGTTTGACGATTTTGAAGTTGAAGAAGAACATATCAGCGAGGAAACGGAATCAAGAGAGTCATTAGGAGAAGAGCTGATTACTTCTCAAAATACTGTAGACACAGAACAGGATGAACAAGATGAACTGAATGTGAACAAATATGAACCAGAAACTAATTATAATGATAATAATAAAAATACTGGTGTCGAACAATATCCGGAATTAAACAGCACATATAAATCTCAAGAAAATGATCAAGCTAGTTTCATGCAAGACTCATTGGTAAGTAAATGGAAGGATATATTGAAAAATAAGATTGAACAGGAAGAAATTAAAACAAACATTATTGAAGACTCATTTAAACATAGTAAAGCATATGCCTTGGAGAAACTTAACGAAACACATACAACAGAAAAGAAATTAGAAACTGATAAACAACTAGTCTTAGAGAATGACCTCAATATAACACTACAGGAACCTGATACTCTTAATATAGAACAAGAAGACACACAAAAAGAAAAAGATAATGTTGAACAACGGAAAGTATCAGAAATAGAATTAAGCAATAATGAAGGCGCAGAAAATATTTTGAAACATGAAGAAATAACAACAATGGATACAAACATAACAGGTCAGATAGGACATAATTTAAAGAAATCATCAAAATCATTGAGATCAACTAATAATAAATTACATCAAGAAATTAATGACAATGTTAAAAATTTTATAAAACGGAAGATAGAAACTGAACACAAAAAGGAAAAGGAAAAGAACAATGAAAATAACAGTTTACAACAAGTTCTAGAAAGAGAAAAGGCACTGGAAAGTAATGATATTAGTGTTGCTAAGATTGACGAAGAACAAGAAAAGTATTATGATGCTAAAGAATCTGTTTCACTAGTATCTACATTACCAAAAGAGGAAGATAATTTAACTAAATCAACCAATACTACAGACTGGACAAAAAAAAACTTTACTTCCTTAAGGAAACCTAAAATTAAAGAATTAAAGAAAAGATTATTAGAAAACAACTTCGAAGAAACCAATTTTGATAATATCCCCAAGATTAATTTAACTAATATTGATGAAAAGAATAAAGACTTACACCCTAAGAAGATTTTTAAGAAGAAAAAGATGATTCGTTATATTACTCCTACAGAAAAATGGGAAGAATTCACACCTGAATCACGGGGGGAAAGTGTTCCAGAAAGAAAGATTAGAGCATTATTTTATAAACAAGCTATAATTGAGAATCAAAATTTAGAAGAAAAGATTAAATTCATTGAAGCATACAATAAAGAATTAAAAAATCTAGTTAGTATGAAAGTAATTGATTTGAATATTACCATAGATAAAAGTAGAATACCAAAGGATAAAATCGTAGGTACAAATTCTTTTTTTATCCGATTAAGAGAGATGGAACTTATAAAGCCAGAATTGATTGTAGAGGCGATCAACAAACAAGCAGTAGTTATAATGATATTGAAACATCCATTTTAAGTCTTGATTCATTGCGAATTCTATTGGTTATTGCTAACAATAAGAAGATGAAATTAAAGACTTTAGATATCAACCATGCATTTTTATATGCAACTTTAAATGAAGAGTTGTATATGCAACATCCAAAAAATGCAAGAAAGGTTACTCCATTAAGAAAGGCATTGTATGGGCTAAAACAAAGCCCTAAAAGATGGAATGAAATCTTAAAAGAGTCTATGAATGGTATGGGTCTATATGATAATATTTACTCACCTGGATTATTCGTTTCAAAGGATGGTAATTTAATGATAGCAGCATATGTTGATGATTGTATAATTGCTGCTAGAACAGATCAAGAATTAGATGAATTTATAAATACATTGGAAAAACAATTCTCAATAAAAATAGTTGGTGGAATGAAAAATAATATGCTTAATACAGATATTTTGGGAATGGATTTGAATTATGATTATGAAAAAGGGGAGATAGCATTAAGCATGACTAGCTATATAAAGAGATTAGAAAAGGAATATCCAATGATATTAAATGATAAATTAAAAGAAGAAATGATTCCAGATATTGATAAGTTTAAAATAAATCCAAAACAAGATAAATTAATTATGACTAAAGAGGAATACAAGAAGAAAGTAAGATATTTACAAGAGTTAATCGGTAAATTAAATTATATTAGGTCTAGAGGAAGAATTGATATAGAATGTGCAGTAAGTAAAATGGCTCGATTAGTTTTATATCCTCATAAAAAGGTAATTGAGTTAACCGAACAAATACTAAAATATGTTTATAAAACACAAGATACAAAGACTGTTTTTAAAAGAGAAGAAGTAGAAAATATATCAAACATCACGGTGATTTCAGATGCTTCGCTAGCATCTGAATTTGATCTTAAATCAAGATGTGGTGCATTAATATGGTTAGGAAACAATTTTTTCCATGGATTTTCAAAAAAATCATCAATTTTATGTACATCATCAGCAGAAGCTGAATTAGATGCCATAAATCAGGCTGAGAAAATTGCATTGCTATTAAAATTGAAATTAGAAAAGATGATGGATTTTAAAAACATAAGAATATGTGTAATTACTGATTCCAAACCAGCATTGGACTGGTTGAAACAAGATTATTTTAAAGCAAGAACCAAATTTTTGGGACTTAGAATTGAAAGATTAAAAGAAAGAATATTAGATTCAGACTTAAGTCTAAGAAAAATCAGTGGAAAAGAAAATCCTGCAGATCCATTAACAAAATCCACTACTAATAAAGATATAAATAAATTAAGAATGATTGTACAACATGAATTAACACCCAAAGAGTTGCTTCCAATCACTGTCCTCTGGAATGCTGGTAATGGAAATCATTAAGTTATAGTGAACAGGAGGAAGTTATAAGAAAAACCAATTAAAGGGGCATGTTGGAAAATGAGAGTTTATTACTGTCATTTTCATAAGAATTATTTTTAATTAGTTTTTCTATATATTATGTGGTGTACGGATGTACATAATATCAGGAAGACATTTTATTTTTCACCAACAGTATTTTTCAGAGATTTGAAAAGGAATGAAAAACTTTAAAAGAAAACTTGAAGTAAATAAAAGAATGTATACTGAATACACTATATAATAAATATGTACATGTATTTAGTATAAAATAGAACAAGCATCTATAACTTAGTGATGGATACCATTACCATGGATGCTGAAGTCTCCAACTTCCAACAGATTCTTCGTGTACAAACCTCAACACTATCTAATAGATTGTTACAAAAAAAAAAGATAATCCATAAAAAAGTTGCATAGGTGCTATAAAATATATAAAAAAAACAAGTGTAATACTGTCACCAATTGTCCTCTTGTGATCAAACACCAATCTTTACTAATATTTTATTAAAGACCTAAACAATAAAATAGTTACGCTTAAATGTTATTACAATGTCCTATCATTTTCACTCACTTGGTAAATGCCCAACATCAACTAGACATAAAGAAAAAACATAAACTTCATATTTGGGTTGTCGTGATACCATTCATTTAGTCTAAATTGTTTATAAAACTCAGGAAAGTGAATGGCCCATAAAAGTATGTTCTTCACAAGTCCTAAACTCCAAATAACAATAGCTATTGAGAAAAGTCAAAGTAATTGTTTCTTGCTCGGCCATTTGTGTGTTAGTGTTAGTTGTGCGCTCTTTTCTCTTGTTTTGTGAATTTATGAATTGTTTTTTTTTCACCAATATTTTTTAGGCAACTTCTACTTTTTTCCAACCTCCTTTTCTCGAAGATTAGATAATGGGAAAATTGCGTTAAAGAACAGAGGAAAATTTTTGTAGATCATCTTGCTCGAGTAAGAAGAAACTTCTATTTCTTCAATAGAAGAAAGCATAGATTCTTTTAGCCCATCAAAAGAGCTTAATGATATATGATACCATATGTCTTACATGGTACAGAATAATACAAATACTTCTATTATGATTTAAATCGTTTTTCTTCATCGACAATTTTGATTGGTCAGATTATTATAATCTTTAAAAATTTCTATCAATGAATGAAAAGTCCACAAATAGAAAAATAATTTCAACAGTTCCTACCATATTATGAACTAAAAACTTTAGATATGGTTGTTTAGATATAAAATAGTATCGTCTCTAAGCAAGCAATTTGTGAATGTGATCCTAGATCTCATTTGAGGTGTTTTGTTAAAGTTAACTTTTCTTCGAAATGTGTAGTACATATATTGAGTAAGGTAAAAATAGTTCACTGAGCAGCCTATAATACATCCATATGTTAATCCAAACATAAAAAAATAGTTTTCATTTAAAGGTTAAGAGGTGTCCTAGAGTTTTTTTTGAGCTTAGTTATTTTTTTCTTTTTGATATAGTCACATCTTTTCAACCTTCATAATACAATATGATATTGCATTATGAGAACCTTTTTTCCCATAATTTTAGACTTTCGAATATATCTGAATTTTGTTGCAGCTGCTTCAGGTAACACAGCCTTTGTACCAGTTGCATGTGCAGTTCCAGGAAATGGTATCAGTAGAGCTACTGTTAGATTTTATGACTACCTTCTAGGTGGTGATCCAACATATAAAAATACCGTTACTGATATCACAAATATAAAATGGGATGCAGGCCCAAGGTTGAATAATCCTCCTTATGGATTCACAGATATTCCAATTACTACCTTCCTAATGGAAATTACAGACTATTACAGAGCTCCAATGACAGGTATTTATACTGTAACTACTAATTCTGCTGGTTTTATTTCAGTTTTCATGGGTACCGGTCTTGCTTTTGATTGTGGTAGTCAAGATGAAGATTTTGGTATTGGCAATTTTCAAGTTACTAATTCTGGTAGTGTAGTATCTAATATGGGTCAAACTTCACGTGAAATATATCCGAAAGAAGGCTACTTTTATCCTTTTAGAGTTGCATATATTAATTACTATGTAAGGGGAATATTAGACATTTTAATAAATTTGCCAAACGGTACCGTAGATAGCACTATAGACCAAAATGTTTACAGTATTTCTGATAATAACCCCAATGATTTTTCATCTATATCTTTTTCATTCACTGGGCTTACAATATACACAACCACCACCACAACAAGAAGAACTACATTGTCGCGTTTAACTGCAACTACAACCACTAGAACAAAAACATACACATCAAGATATAATCGTTATAATCAAAAGGTTATTGTTGAATACTATGAAGCTGATCTTGCCCCCAAACCGAGCACTATAACCTCATATACTAGAGGTTCAGTACACTCAACTACCACCATCTCCACATATACTTCCTATGCCACTGACTCCAGGAGTCGTCGCAGTCCAGTTAATGTTATGGTTATCGAAACTCCCATACCAAGCACTACCATTTCCACTATCACATCATATATCATTAACTCTAATGGCCATCGTAGTCCAGTCGACGTTATTGTTGTCGAGACACCTCCACCAAAAACTGTCACTTTATATACTAAAGCTACAGTTAGCTCAAGGGTTGCTGTTTCAACATCCACCTCCTACACTACTGACTCCAATGATAACAGCACTCCAATTGACGTTGTGATTGTTGAGATCCCAAGAATTGTATCGATAAGTATAAGACATTTATATTGGGATTCATCAGTATCTGCTGTAGCAATGGTATCGTCTGAGAGCATTATATCAGATGGTTTGGGTAGAAGTATTGGATCAAGTAAAAATATGATAACCTCTAAGAAGAATACTTTAAGTACTGTGAAAATCGAGTTATCATCCAGAGAAACTGGTGGTAATACTATATAAAGTTTATCTACTACACGTATTATAAGTAATCAACAAGGTACTGTTACACAACGAACAATCAGTGTATTTTCTCAAATTACAAAACCAAGTGGGAGATTAAGCACAGTTACATTGTCATACTTTTTAAACCCTAATTAGCTCATTTATTTTATTCTAAAACATTCAATTCCAACGTCTGCGACGTTATATTTACTTATTTACTCAAATGTATAATTTAAACGTTCAGAAATAGTACAAAGAAAATTGTTACAAATCACGAAAACAATCAGTTTTATAACTCCTGAATAATGCTTACTAAAGTAAAGTGCTTTAGGATAAAATAAATAGAGTCATAAGATTTTGGCAGAGAGAAAATGGTAGAATGCTGGGTATTTAATGTTTTCATATCACTTAATATTGGTACAGTTATTTGGTTATATTTTTTGTTGTTTGTAGAAAAGGATTATTTAATTTTTAAATAATATGAAACTAAACTATTTCTACATGCTGCTTTTCTATACTCTATGAACATTTTGAATATTATTATTTCTGTATTGTACATGTAATAAAAAGGAAAGAACTTTATTTTACTTTTATGTAATAATTATAGTTGAAAATGTAGCTTAGATATCAAATGCAAACAGGTGCTACTTCCCAACAGTTAGAAATAATATTGGTGTTTATAGAATAAAAAATAAATTAAAATGTTCCAGGATATTATAATCCAAAACATCATATCATTTCTGTTCTTCTTCTTCTTCTTATTATTATTATTATTATATATATATATAAGACATACATGATGGAAGATCTAACAAATATTTCCAAGTAACTGTTCATTACATATAGAAAAAAAGTGGATACATATGTAAATTTACCTTATAACGTTTGTCATCAAAGTGATGAAATATAGAAGGATAAGTAACATACACTGTATTAATACAAAAAAAATAAGAAAAAAATAATAGAGATTTATTTTCTAAGAATAAATTTGCAAAAAGAAAAGGGTAGTGTAAAATCTAGAGCAGTTACTATCATCATTCTTCGAATATTTTCATGATAATGCTACATATGTTTTTCAAGCAAACAGTTAGATACATGAGTAAATTATTTTCAGATATTCTTAAACTTGTAAAAAAAATCTGTGCAATGTCAGTAATTCTATCCTATGCAACTTCCAATCATAGCGAGTATTTTTCATCCCCTTAGAAAACTTAGGACATTTTGACACTATTATTTGATAGGTATTGCTTCATATCCTTTCTGTATCTGTATCCTACATTATATATTGCATAACTTAAAAGAACCACACAGTACAGTTTATCTCTAGAAATGCTAAAAAAAAGTTCAGGAAACTATAGTAAAGACAATCAACATGGCGTATGATAAGAAAAAAATTGACAACACAGGTAGTCGGTTAATCAAAAAACTTGCGATATTAGTTCAAATACTATCTAATTTGAGGCAATTTTTTTTTCAAACAAATCACAAATCTTTTTATGTTCTTTGCAGCAATACATAATCTCATACTATTTGAATACACATTTTAAACAACCTAATGAGGAGAATTTCGCTTGCAACTAGACTTCAATGGTATAGCTTATTATTTCTGTTAAATGGTCATTAGATTTTTTTTACTTTTCTATATAATCACTTATGCTCCTAAGGTTTTTTCTGTCTTTTCCTGGTCCTGTCTGCAGACTCATATTCATCTTGAGTATATATAAATAGGTTTGAAACACTAATAATGGATCCTCTATTTATAATCTCTACTACTAAAATAACAATTGATCTTTGCATATATTTTATTGCTAATGAAATCATCAAGTTACCTGCTGGGCTAAGATTTAAGCTCGAAAATTACTCCTGTTTATTTTTCTCAAAGCAAAAAGAAAAAATTTGTTAACTAAGAACTACTTCAAAGTATATGCCATAAACATAGACCCAGGAGCTGTGCACAGTCTTATGCCTCATGAAGTACAAAATACCAAACCACAGACACATTGTTATGCGTCAAGAGAAACTCACTCGAAAAAAACAGCCCAGTTTTGTCTAATAATGTCCCTTCTAAGTTAAATACTTTGATTTTTGTCTACTGTTTTTAACTAAAGAAAATAACCACTTAATCATTAATTTTGTAACAGGAGAATAATAGGGATAAGGTCATCAATTATTACCATACTTTCTTCCTTACTAACTTTCAAATATTGTACTACAACAAACAATGAAATAACTTTAAAAGGGCCTGTATTTTAATGATACTATTATATCACTTTACCTGTACAGATAATATTTGTATAATTTGTCAGAAAGCCTCCTATCTGGGTTAAAATGGCATGCTGAGCTGCATATTTGATAAAAAAAATAATGTTGTTTTTAATTCAGTTGTAACTGTTGAGTTTACCTGCACTAGCTACAAGACAAACCATAAAGATCTACTGAATGCCGTATCTTTAATGATGAACTAGAATGTATCTGGGGCAATTAACATTATTATATTAGATAGATAATATAAAAGAACTTTGCATCAAGAAGTATGTGGAACTAATTTTTTTTTACAAAAACAATCAACACACATTATTACTAATGGTAGCTTTCTTTATAATTCCATTATTTCCTGTATCATACTTAACTTTTATTATAATTATTAAAATATTTTCTATTATATCAACCATATTAAGTAGGAAACACATACATTAGCAAAGAGTTGGCTAGTCAACTTGTGAAGAAAAAAAAATTGATACAGATATAGATTGATAACTAACTATTATAAACTCTATTCGTATGAATATAATGGAATGACAAAACCTTAAAAAATATCATTTATATCATTATTATGCCAACCCAGCAAGGCTCAAAACAAAATAAAATAATAACAGCTGATAGTTCTTCACCAGTATATATTGTTTTAATATTCAGTTTCTCTAATACTTAAGGTGTGTAAGTAAGAATAATTAAACAATATTCTACAATTTTACAGATAAAATTCCATGGCTCTTTTGTAGAAAGATACATTATCTTTTTTTTTTGAAATTTTATCTAAATAACATATTGAAGTATCTTTTTACCTAACATTTGTGGTGTGTATTTAATTTGCATCAATTATTTTTATTGAGTATAGATGAAAGGCTTTGTTCTTTTTATTTTGATATATATAAAGGTAACATATACAAATAAATACCCATTATTTCTAAATTTTCTTGAATGTTTTATAAAATTAATTTGCAAGCACCTGTACAAGTCAAACAAACAAAAGACCTTCTTTATATATATAAATATATATATCAATTAAAATAATAATGCTGATATAGATATGGTTGCTACACTCCTTGGTAATATTGAACATCTAATAATTACTATTATTGTCCAATTTATCTTATTAATTCTCTTAATTTACAAAGATAGGAAATAACTGTAAACACATTTTATCACTGTAATGCCTCCTATAAATGGATTGATTTTGTTTTCTATCTCAATAAATTATTTCACTGATGATTTTTCTTGATATACATAGAAGTGAATTCCTGCAAAAAAAAAAGCCTATATTTTTATAAACTGAAACATACTTGTCGTTTCAGTACCTTCTGGTAACGTATATTTCCAACTTCCCAATAGTTGCACGAGTTCCAAGAATATCGAGAGTTTCTTCTTCCTTTTTATTTTTTCTTTCAGAATATTAGAAATTGATTATTAAATAACCCACGTAGGAAATTTTATATCAAAGCTCACTTAAAAAGGTCTTTGATCTATTGCGATAGATGATATGACTGACTATCAATATTAGATTATGATATAGTTGGGTCCAATATAATATAATTAGATAATATATCGTATGTTCACAAGATCTTTTTTGTTAAAAACTGATTTTGGTAGATCGTTGGTAATTTTTTTGAAAGAAGTAAAGTTGTGAAAGATCAATATGTATTTAATAATAAATACAATATATACTATTTGCATGGGTTTTCAATAAACGAGAAATCCAATTTACTAAATACTTAAAACATAACAACGTTAGACTTTAAGTCTACTATAGTTCTAGGAGATACCATATTAGCATCCCTGAAACTCTAATTTCAAATGTTAAATCTACAAAATTATACTTCCATAAACAATTAAGATTATTTAAATTAAATATCATTTTAAATATTTTCATAGGATAAATGCTTGATCATAAACAGTAGAAAGATGGTATAGTGTTTAACATAAATCTATTTATCAAAGTCTTCTTTGAAATGAAAAACGTAAGCAGATTTTTCAAATTTGTGGCTTTCACTGCATATAGAACATGTAGATTATTTTTGAATCGATCTTGTTTTCTGGAAAATAATTTTGTATTATTAGGCACAGAATATTTCTCATAGTTCTCTGGAAACCGTCTAAGATATCTTTTCCCATGAGTAGAGTAAAGACTATTTTCCATGTCAAATGATTATATGAACAATTTATTCTTAATCCACCCACTATACCAAGGTAAGCAAAACAATGAGCTCTTTCTAAAAAGTTTCTGAAACATATATATCACTATCTCTTTCTTTAAATTACAAAATATGAGTGAATCACAATTTTCGAATGAATAAAATAAAAAACGATAGAGTTATTTATTTTGTGATAAATAAGTCAATGAATTTTGACCGTTCTCTTTTCATGTGTAGGATGTAGAAACAATGTAAACAACACAAACATAATACACTGAATTAATGTGATCCATTAATGGTTGCTCTATCACATCTTATATTTACACCCACATTTCTATCTCTAAGATGGTAATATCATTTAGTAAATTTTATTGCTCTTTTACATCTATAACATACAATGTTATTCACAGTGTCTGTCATCATGATATTAGCATGTATCTTTACTATGGATTTATACATAGTAGACTAAGTTCATATCAACCACTATTACTTTCAATTATGTTTTTATTCTTAAACTGCTTACTTCATTTAGACATTAATAACTGGTAGATTGTATGGTATCACTCTTAAACTATGAACTCCTCATTAATATACAACTTCTCTTGATATTATGTCTTAAACAAGAATGATACTACACAAACACATCACACTTAATTACTCTTAACATCAGCTATCATTATCTCTTCACTATCCACCAATCTCCTTTCATTCAAATTTCAATTGTCAATCTTCCTTTTTTCAAAATCTGAAAAAATAGTTCGAAAAAAAAATTAACAATAATAACTACTTTCAACGAAAGCTAAGTATGTAAATAATACAGATTCATCTAACCATAAATAATCAGCTATGGTATACTTACTTTACATGTCTATATGGTATAACTTTGAACATTGACAAACCCCTATTTAACATGGCATAGTTATACCACTGTATACCTAATAATCATTTATATTTGACTATAGAGAATACTCTCAAAACAACCTGCTCCATACATATATTGTAACTAGGGAGAATATTTATCGATAGACTATGACCATTTTTTGTGTTACTACCACTTTTATTATGAATATGACTACTAAAGCATACTCCAATATTACATGAACACCATCCCTTACTAATATCTTCAATATAAAGGAATACTTGTATTTTCTACATCACTTCATTATCCATTGAATGATAATGTTATAATAACTTATAATCACAGAGAATAGCCTTTTGAAATTAACACATCATGATGACCGCTATAAACATAGATATAATTATACTATATCAATAAAGAACTTCACTGTATGTGATTTTTTCTTATATCCTACTAAATCCTTAGTTTTACTAATTCTACTCTTATTATAGATGAATTTAATTTATGTTTGATTTTCAATGCTTATGGTAATGATGATAAAAGACACATTGATTTGATATAATGAATTATATTTTGATTATATCTTTATTTCATTCTACTGTACTGCTTTCCCTGCTTAACAATTTTTGCTGTGTCTTTTACTCAGATGATCTTATTTTAATGTTTGACAAGATAATATAATAGAGAGAAATTTTATCTCGATCTTTGTACATTGAACAACATTTAAAAATATACTATGGTGGAGTATTAACATGAAAATTTATCAATTTAATATTCAAGAATTAATCAGTTAATTTGATTCATTTCGAGAATTAATCTGATATTATTATAACTCAATGTTTAATACTGTATGTTAAACATCCAATTACAACAAGCAATCATCAGAAATACTTAATGTTCAAACAAATATCCCACCATATATATAATGTGAATATCTATGATTATCAAAACTTAATTTCATTATGATATTAAATCAAGAAAATATACTGTATCTATACATGAACATTTGCAAGAATATGAATGTATTAGAGTACTTTTAAATGTTTCTCATTTGAAAAGAACGTTCACACATTATTGATATCATGATCACATAAGCATCCAGAATATCATTGGAATGATTATTATTACAGCAATGTTTTTCAAGTGTGGGGGAGAAATTCTTATGTATTTTTTAAAACCTTAAAAGTTCTGCACCCAACAAAATACAAAAGAAATATGGTAAATTGGCAGAACAGTAAGGTATGTATATTACAATAGAATATGTATCTACATTTTTTATGTATAGTGTTCCTAAAATGTATAGTAGGTATGGTATATCATCAATATGCAATTATGTGTATTTGAAAAATAGCTTATCACTTCTCTTCCTTTCTTGTTTTTTCCTTTGCTATATAAAAGCTCCTTTTATTTCCTCAAATATCGTGAAAGTTGCTTTCCAGTATGCCTCTTCTTCTCATGTAAATACAATATTGCTAAATATGTTATTCTTTTTAGGTTGGAATAGTATATCAAAAGAAAAGTAAGGAAGTACAAGTGGAACCATTAGTTGAAAATGAAGGTAATAAAAGTTTACATATTTATATAAATGTGCATACACATATATATACAATTATTTGAATTAACAGCGCAAAATAATATTTAATTAATAAATATATTATTTTTTCCATACTTGTGTGTGCGTATATATAAGGGAAAGAGAACAAATAACTAGGGAAGATAGAAAGAAATAGATATATGACCACCTGGTCTCTCATTTATATATCGCTCATCTAGTCAAATTCTTGAATCCTAGTGAAGATAAAGAAATATTGTAATAGTCTTTAACATATGTAGTAAAGCTGTTATTATTATCTTTGAAATAAATTAACAGTAAATCTTTATAATTACAATCTTTTTAATTAGAAAGGGTTTTTGGATCTTCTATCCTTTAAAATACGATCAGTTGACTTCAAATTTATATGATAACAAGCTATCTGATCTAAATTCACTAATTAAATATGGTCAAAACACGTAACAAAATTCGAAAACAAAATATAAAGAAGAAAAATATACAATACATATAATATTGGAGTATTATATATGTTTAGATAGTAATTACTAATTATTTAACTATTTAGAATTCTTTATTTTAAAGTTTTTTGTCTTTAATTAATTTAAATTACCATAAATAATAATAAACCAATGAAATGGGTAAGACCCCACCTCATGTATATGATACTACCAATACCTTCATATGACACAAGAGAAGGTACACCTTCATGAGGTACCATAATAGCAGTTGGTGATGAGGAGAATTGCTCAGAAACATATTGAGAGACTTGTGGTATCATTGTGGTTAGCGATGTTTCTGGTCTTCTGGATTCAACAGTACTAGTTTCCGAAGTAACGTCTATGTTACCCCTTGTAGATCCAACAACAACAGTGGTAGATTCTCTGGAGTTTCTAGATGTTAGTTGATTTTCATTGTTGGTAAATGCTGGACCAGTGGTGGTAGAAGCAATAGAAGTAACTGGAGTTACATTTGTAGCAGTAGTAAATGAGTTGGTCTCTTCTTGTTCGTTCTTTGAATTAGTATAAACAGTTTTGATGGAACTATGTCCAATAGTAGCAGTTAAACTTATTTCAGAAGTTGCAGATGGCTCTGGACAATAAGTTGTAGTTATTGTAACTCCATGAACCACTGTAGTTAATACTACTAAGGTACCACTTAAAGTAGTTGCAGTTTTTTCAACAGGAATACTGGAGTTTCTGTAAATAGGAGATGACACTGACATTGACGATGTCATGAAACTATTGAATGGAGGTGGAGTGACAATGACAATAACAACCTCGGTAGAAGATGAACCGTTGCTGTCAGTTAATGTAGTAGTGTAGGTGGTGGATGTAGTTGTAATGGAGACAGATCCAGCAGTAGTGGTGTAGGTAGTGAATAGAGCTGGAGAAGATGGAGAACCTGTGCTACTGCTGTAAGTGGTAGATGGAGGTGGAGTGACAATGACAACAACAACTTCAGTGGATGAGGAACCGTTGCTGTCAGTTAATGTAGTAGTGTAGGTGGTGGATGTACTTGGGGTAGTCACAGAACCGACAGTAGTAGTGTAAGTAGTAGATGGAGGTGGAGTGACAATGACAATAACAACTTCAGTGGATGAGGAACCATTACTGTCAGTCAATGTAGTAGTGTAGGTAGTGGATGTAGTTGTAATGGAGACAGATCCAGCAGTAGTGGTGTAGGTAGTGAATAGAGCTGGAGAAGATGGAGAACCTGTGCTACTGCTGTAAGTGGTAGATGGAGGTGGAGTGACAATGACAACAACAACCTCGGTAGAAGATGAACCGTTGCTGTCAGTTAATGTAGTAGTGTAGGTGGTGGATGTACTTGGGGTAGTCACAGAACCGACAGTAGTAGTGTAAGTAGTAGATGGAGGTGGAGTGACAATGACAACAACAACTTCAGTGGATGAGGAACCATTACTGTCAGTCAATGTAGTAGTGTAGGTGGTGGATGTACTTGGGGTAGTCACAGAACCGACAGTAGTAGTGTAAGTAGTAGATGGAGGTGGAGTGACAATGACAATAACAACTTCAGTGGATGAGGAACCATTACTGTCAGTCAATGTAGTAGTGTAGGTAGTGGATGTAGTTGTAATGGAGACAGATCCAGCAGTAGTGGTGTAGGTAGTGAATAGAGCTGGAGAAGATGGAGAACCTGTGCTACTGCTGTAAGTGGTAGATGGAGGTGGAGTGACAATGACAACAACAACTTCAGTGGATGAGGAACCGTTGCTGTCAGTTAATGTAGTAGTGTAGGTAGTAGATGTACTTGGGGTAGTCACAGAACCGACAGTAGTGGTATAGGTGGTAGATGGAGGTGGAGTGACAATGACAACAACAACTTCAGTGGATGAGGAACCATTACTGTCAGTCAATGTAGTAGTGTAGGTGGTGGATGTAGTTGGGGTAGTCACAGAACCGACAGTAGTGGTATAGGTGGTAGATGGAGGTGGAGTGACAATGACAACAACAACTTCAGTGGATGAGGAACCATTACTGTCAGTCAATGTAGTAGTGTAGGTGGTGGATGTAGTTGGGGTAGTCACAGAACCGACAGTAGTGGTATAGGTGGTAGATGGAGGTGGAGTGACAATGACAACAACAACCTCGGTAGAAGATGAACCGTTGCTGTCAGTTAATGTAGTAGTGTAGGTGGTGGATGTACTTGGGGTAGTCACAGAACCGACAGTAGTAGTGTAAGTAGTAGATGGAGGTGGAGTGACAATGACAACAACAACTTCAGTGGATGAGGAACCATTACTGTCAGTTAATGTAGTAGTGTAGGTGGTGGATGTACTTGGGGTAGTCACAGAACCGACAGTAGTAGTGTAAGTAGTAGATGGAGGTGGAGTGACAATGACAACAACAACTTCAGTGGATGAGGAACCATTACTGTCAGTCAATGTAGTAGTGTAGGTGGTGGATGTAGTTGGGGTAGTCACAGAACCGACAGTAGTGGTATAGGTGGTAGATGGAGGTGGAGTGACAATGACAACAACAACCTCGGTAGAAGATGAACCGTCATTGTCAATAAATGTAGTAGTGTATGTAGTCGATGTAGTTGTAACGGAGACAGAGCCGACAGTAGTGGTATAAGTAGTAGATAGCGCAGGTACAGCAACATCATAAACAATTTCAGTCACAGTAAAAGCGTATTCATTAGTTGTAGTCGTAGTTACAGTTGAAATAGTAGTAGGCTGTGTAATAAAGTCCTCAGTGGTAATCGTGGTTGTCCTTGTAAGTGTTTCAGATATCCACGGACAGGTAGGGCACCACTCATAAAAGGAATTTACATAAATGTATGTACCACCAATTTGATAAAGTGGATCTGATGGTATAACAGAAGCCCAATTACTTGTCCATGTTGAAGCATGCCCACAAGTGGCATTCAACCAGTAACGGTGACCATATATTTCAAAATTAGGAGGTGAACTACCTGGTAAGGTACCATAATCAGCATTATACCATTCATTGGAGTTTACACCTAAAAACACAAGCATAGATCCGACAGGATTGATAATTCTAAGCGATTCTGGAACAATTCTTGGATTGATTATGTATAGAGCCTTATTGATATTGAAAGTTTGGTCCCCAAGAGTGCCTGTGTTAATGAGAATTACAGCACCATCGTTACCAACGACTTTACCTTCACCTTCGAGAGGATTATTAAAGATAATACCTTTCATTTTGTATCTATTAATAACAACTGTATCATGTTGGCTTATAAATTCAGGAAATCCACCAGATTTGATAATACCATTATTGGTTATAGCACCAAGATAAAGGAACCCAGTTCCTGCACCCCCTTTATCAGCTGTATCATAGTCGATAGTACCTGTGTTGATAAATGATTCAGTTGGAGCTATAGTGAAATTAGTACCTAGTACACTAGCAGCCGCCCTTAATTGTGAGACAGTAAATGTACCAGAGTTATCGATACGGGCTGGGGCAATGACAAAATCAGTAGCGGAACCTGCTGACTTAATATTTTCGATGTTGATGTTACCACTGTTTGTAATTGTCGTAGTAGAACCAAATTGTAGATTACTTAACCCGTCTGTTGAATCACCAATAATATCTAAAGAACCCTTAACATTAATATTACCGTTGAAAGAATATGAAGAACCCGATACCAATGCAAGAGTAGCACCTGACTCAATTACGATATCATCAGAAAATGTTTGATCACCTGACAAAGTTGTAGGTGCTGAAATAGTAGTAGTAGCAGCACTTACTTTGGTCACAAGTAATCCTAATAGTGACCACAAAATTAATGCCTGCATTTTAACTATAACAAATGAATAATAATTACTTCTATTTTTTTATGTTATATAATCTTATTCAATTGTTTCTTAGATAACTTATGTTTGTAGACTTTATAAAAAAGATAACACAAGAATAGAATTAATAAAGAAGCGAAAACAACAAAATCTGTCGAAGATGGAGAAAAAAATAAAGGGCTCTTTATATATTACAAAAATGCAAATATACAATTCTATATTAGAGATAATCATCAATGATACAATCAAAAATAAAACTGGGTCAATCAACAAAATTCATATCCTTAGTTCCGATAGATATTCAAATATGTTTTGTGTACTATATCTAAAAAATTTATAATCGGTGTTCGTTTAGTGTAAAAGATCTGTATATTCTATTGTCTTTCTTTTTGAAGGGGTTTTTCGCGTCTTGAATTGATATTTCGGCAAACATTTACCTTTTGGAGTAGGACAAAATAGGGCTCACAAAAAAATCTCGAATTTTTCCCTGTCTTTTTTCTCATAATATAAACATGTATAAGCTTGTTTATTCCAGAACGTCACAACAGTTAGTAGTATAAATGCTCATTACTTAAAAATTCTAATTACTATTTTCAACAATAATAGATAGATATACTATGTACATTTCTTTTTTTGCTCTTATGTATTATGATTAAGAGTAAAAAATATACATAAACTTATATATTTCACTATTAAATTGTTCATAATGAACCAGTTATCCATTTTATGCACAAAAAATGATATTTTTATTCAGAAACTTTACTGAAATGGGATATGCTAATTGAAAATGTGTCCACATTACTCAATATATTAGGCTCTAATTTATGAAATGTACATATCCTAATAAGAAGTAGATAATTCTTATAGCATAATAATTATCATAAATCGCCCACAAAAACTACAAGCTGTAACTTGTATTTAAGAATTTAGATTAATCATTTTTTATTAAAGTAGAATAGGTCCTGTGTATAATCTTAACATAATTAATTTGTTTAGATCTTACTGTTCAGACTTTACACTTTTCATAATTGATAGGCTTTTAAAATTTTTTCTTTTTTTTTTTGTGCATCGTAAGAAGGGTTAATTTTTTTTTACCAAAAATAAAGTCATAGTGAGTATAGAATTTTTCATATCACCCCACATATCTAGTACAAAAATATTAAATAATTCTCTAGATTTTTGCATATATTGTACATATTAACTATTGTTACGTAACATGTTATCTAAAGTAATATTTAGAAAAATTTATTGTTACCTTTTTTTCTCAAGAAAAATATCGGACAAAAATATAGGGGCATATTTGTTTAGTAATAATAGTATAGATAATAATAGTTCTGAATATTTTATACCTACCTCTGAATTTTTTTACCTACACATGTTAATGGAAAATACCTTAGAAGTACTATAATTTTTCAGGGTCGTTAAATACAATAGCTTCTATCTAGAAAATAATAGGTTAAAAACTTGAATATTACTTTTTTTGTTTTGATTTTTTCATCCAAAAAGATTTTACTGAGTCCTTCTTTAAAATTTTCATCAAAAGAAAAAGTTTCAGAATTTTATAGAACTATAATACATTTCATTGGTAGAAAAGAATGCTATAAAAATAACACAATATGTAAAAATTAATGATACTTGCCTTAACAATGCAAGAAGAAAATCGCTCTTTTAATTTTTTATTTGGATATTCTTTAAAATATTATTAGAACATCAGATGAAAGCATTTAATTGGAATAAAATAGCAAGGGCATGATTTTACTCCTGCGGTTTTGATCTTGAAAAGTTCGACATTGCACCAAAAGGGACATATTTCAACAAAAAAGAGTACATAAAATGGTGCCACTTTCCAAGAATGTTTAAACTTCCCTTTTAGTACACAGTGAATGACTTTATAAAAAGTCTTAGAGAGATAGGGAATCTCTATTTTTGTATTTTTAATTTTTTTCCTATTATTTTGTTGCATAATACTGTATTGTTTTGAAAATAACGTGATTACTCTCTTAAGTTTTCTTGTTTCAAGAAGAGTCTAGAATTTTCTTTGAACTATATTTAGTAGACTAAAGTTCTACCGGGTATATCCAATAATAGATGCATTGTTATTTTAAACTGGAGATTTTGATCTTTCTTTGAAAATAATCCATAGAATTTTCAAATGTGGAAGTATTATTTTGGCCAAAGTATAATGGGATTGCGATATTTTTTACTAAAAACTTACATCTACAACTAATTAGTATTGCACATGTCTTAGAGGAATATTTGACTAGAATTAAAAGAAAAAAAAGAAAAAAAGAAAAGAAAAAAGAAAAATAAAAAAATAAAAATAAAGCGAATTTTTTATGATGAAAAAAATGTTACTATGGACCTATTGTTTTATGCGAGAAAATAAAAATAAGTGTAGCGAAAAAGTATAGAAAATTAGAAAATCATTAAAATATCTCGAGATTCACTAAAAAGGGAATGGACAAATGGACAAATAAAAATAAACTGGTATTGTTCCGCTATATTGCAATTAATACGTAAACGTGTATACAATAGCCATGTCACAAAAAATTAATTCACAATTGCATGTGTTTTTTTTTATTATTTTCCTGTCTTGATTTCTGATATCGGATCCAGTCGGAATAGCTAGTTAATCGGTCATCATTTTTAGTAGCTTCACTAAATTTGGACATCACACTATTTGCCGGTTTTAATGGATTACTGGGCTTATCACTAAAATTCCTGGTTTCTTTAGAAATGGTTTGTTTTCGATTGACTTAATGTTTGGGTATTCAAAATATCTGTGAATCAATAATGGAGTAGCAGCTATAATATCATAAACTGTTCTTTTTTTTTTGTCGTTCCCTTCTGCGGTTTTCCTTTTGTATCCTCCAGTAACTGACCTTTTCTTCCATCTGTTAAATGTAAGTTTTTTTGCTTAACGCTTGATAATAACTGAGCAGATATTATAAGATGTAGATAAAATCATTTATATTAAGAGATTCTTGGTTTTTTGTTACTTATACAAATATTAATAGGATGTTTGTTGAATTAGATTTTTTAGAACATGTTTTAATGAATAGTAGCCTGTTTTTATTATATCTTTGTTGATAGGAGAGAAGATATAGAACAGAAAAAAATGTTCATAAAAATTATGGAAGTTAGGTATTCTATGCAAATGAATTTTAGTTATTTATAGATTGATTTTGAAAATATGTTTATTTCATATAAAAAGCTAGTTATTTCTATCTCTTAGATACGTTACAAAAAGAACTGAAGAAAATTTTTCTATGTTTGAATTTTAACAAAAAAAACAATGGAATTATAGTAAAGAAATTGTTAATTTTTGGATACTTTTTAATGGTTTTTTTTTTCATAAATTACAGTTCTGCTGTGGAGAATTAACAACTATTTGTGTTTGGTAAGTCTGATATATTTTCAATTATAAACATTATACAAAATTACAGTAGAGTTCTCCCCTCTTTTTTTGCTGTAATTGCTATACAGAAGTAATTATATACAAAAAGGATAAGCAAAATAAGGATATGATATAGGAATATTCCTATATTTAGTATCTGTGGCTGTTAAGTAATGTTTTTTGACAAACAACTAAAAAGATTAGCTAAATATTTCCAACAAAACTTAATCATGCCTAAATCACAAACACTCATTTTTCCATTGGCTAGCATCTATTAGGATCTGATTGGTCCCCTATTTTATTCTATAACATTCTTTTTTTAGCAAACCTCATTGAGGAATCATATTACTGGAATTTTTCAGGACCTATGATAATTATCTTTTTATTTTTTTTGAACTTTTAAATAAATTAATAGGATCAAATAAATAAATATAGATGTGCATTAAGAAGACGTAAATTTAAAATTCTATTTTAAGTGTAAGAAATTCTACCTAGAAATCCTGAAGCATGTCACGTATGGGTAATGATATACAGCCAGGATAAAAAATTTAGAAAAGCCACAACTTTCAATACAAACTATAAATGTATTTTAAAAGTCACTGAATTAATGTTGGTGCCAAGTTATTGGTGAACTTATTCAAGAAACCTCTAATTATTGTGAAAAAGCAACAGAGGTAATTTTCGATAAAATCATTCTCATTATAATATTTCTCAGATTTTTATAAAGAGATATATTAATATTAATAAAAGAAATATGCATTGTATCATTAATTTATTTATTAAAATTAATAACTTAAAAGTTTGTAGTTGTATTACTACATACAGCTCAGTGTATTATATAAGTTAATGTTGAAAAATATTTAGAGATATTTTAATTACTTTAAATCCATCGTAATTAATACTTGAAAAAATGATAAATTTTTATATTAAAGAAATTCAGGTGTGAAATGGGATGTAATGTGTATAATTTGTTGTATATTAATTCGATAGAATAAAAATATAGAGATTTTTTATAAAAGCTGGAGTATTATTAACATTCTACTAAATTAAATGTTCATCAACTATAAATTCATACAAAAATTTAGAATAAATATTACTTAAATTCTAATGGATATAAATAAAACAAGTTAATAAAGTTTGTCAACCATAGAAGAAAAATCTCCAATATGAATATATACAAAGCTAATAGTTTTTTCATAACATGTTTTATCCTTGTAGTCTTTTTATACACTGTCATCTTTGTATTACACACACAAAAGAAGATCAATAAACCTAACCATAAGTTCACATACTATAAATATATAACTATAATTATAGAGAATGTATATTACATACTAAATACACATAAACTGTAATACTTAACTGCTTTGAATGTTGAAACAGTTATTTGAGAATGATTTTATGGTTGAAAAATATTGAAATAGAATCTAAGTAAAATAAAACATCTAAAGGAATCTCAAAACTGTTCAAATTTTAAATATACAATATCTATACTAAAATAAATGTTTTACAAGATCTAAATAACAAAACTTTTATTAAAACTCATTATTAAATGGATTTGTTGAGACGGTTTAAACCTATATTAGAATTCTAATGTTATTATGAGTTGCTAGTTTATTTATATAAAGATATTAGTTCTACTCTAACACATACTTCCTTATTTTATTTTATATTATTAATATAAAAGATATAATATGCAAAAAATTCATTTTAAAGCTGAGTTTTTTTAATATAAGATTTTATTACTATTCAGTGTCAAAGATTATACTTAAAGATATTTCAATAAAACACATTTACAGTTTGTCTTCAAATTGTTGGTAATCTTAAGTCTCTTATTTCATACTTCTGGTTTTCCAAGTGCAACTTTCTGTAATTAAATATAGCATATTAAATTTGTTGAAATATAATTATTAGAGCTATGTTTGATAATCTAAATTCATCGTACTAAGTGATTAAAAGTTATGAAAATTTATAGTAAAGAAGATTCAAAGATAAAATGAGTATACTGTATAATATTGTATCTTGTATATTACTTATATAGAAAGAAAAGGACTAAGCAATAAAATAACAATTTATAGTACCACTAACTTCCTACTATAAATAATAATAGAACTTATAATACCACCAATATCCTATTGTAAGTTACATTATCTTATTATATTAGTTTAAAATGAACTCGACTAGAATTTTTGATTCTGAAGCCTTGCGTCAACAGGTTATGAGCCCTGTAGCTACAGCTGCAGGTTGTATTCCAATTAAATTGGACGGGAAAAAGAACTTTAAAAAATGGATAAACATCTTAGCTATGCATATGTCTGATATCAATTTACACTGGTATCAATATGCACAAAATGGAAAGCTAAATGTTATTATTGAACAATATAATCCATCTAATGATATGATTGCTTATATTAAAAAATTATTTGAAACGGCATTAAAATTATTAATTGTTAATAATGTCGAAGGATCTGCTAAAAAAGAAGCAGATAGATATGTTGCTGGTGATTACGGTATCCCAACTGGAAAAGGTCTTCTAAATCACTTAACTGAGTGTTTTGGTACAGAATCTATTGATGTAGCTGCAGAACCTTTCTTTCAGTTAGCTAAAGCTAGGAATTTAACATTAGACGACCAGTATGATCTTGTTAATCGTTTAGTGGAGGTCATTTTTGAAACCACATCTAGTGAAGAAAATTTTTTAAATTCATTAACTTCTGCGCAACAAGAGGCTTTAAGAGTCATCAAGATTAAAGCTCGTGAAAGAGCTGCTTCATTATTTTTAATGAGTTTATATGATGAGTCTTACCAAAGATTTATGGATATATTCGGTAAGAATCAGGAAATTAAATTGAGAGAAGTGTATGATGTAATTAGTAATGCTAAAAGAGGAGTAACTAACTCCAGTTTTGTTGGAAGAAGAAATCAATTCAAGCAAAAAGTTAAAAACTTCAATTGTAAAAGATGCGGGGGACAACATAAAACTAATGAGTGTCCAGAATTTCAAGAATGGTTAAAGAACAAAAGAAATAAAAATCATGAAAAAGATTACAAGATTAATAATTCTCATACGGCTTGGATTGCGTTGATTAGCAAACAAAATACAACATCGAGAAACGATTGGTATTTTGATACTGGTTGTACCCAGCACATATCTCACGACCGTTCAATGTTTTGCGAGTTAGTTGAAGGAGATGAGAATGAGTTTGGGGTTATCGAAGGCATTGGAGGTAAAACTGCTATTAAAGGTATTGGTACAGTACAACTAGGACATGTCACATTATACAATGTGGCATATGTTCCTGATGGCAACGTAAACTTGATTTCTGTCAAAATGGCTTCTTCTAAATCAAACATGAAATTTATATTTGACAAAACAAAGGTATATACAATTAAAAATAATAAAATTACTCAAGTTGGTGAAATGAGAAATCAACTTTATGTTTTTATGCCCAACAATAAAGAAACAAAAACGATGAACAAACCACTTGATTATGCTTTTATTTCGTATGACCATTCTGTTTTGCCATCTCCAAAGGCAAATATTCCAGATGCCATTAAATGGCATGCTAGAGTAGGACATCCAGGTTTAGCTAATTATAATCGATTGGCAAATCGAATTGACTTGCCCATTATGGAAGCTGATAAACACTCGTTGTGTCCCACTTGTTCCCTTTCAAAAGGGGTTATGAAAAAAGGAAAAATTTCTGACACACAATATACGAGCCCTTTACAGCTGCTACAAGTTGACATTTGTGGTCAATTTAGGTATACTAATTTTTCTGATAGTAAATATTTTTTGACTATCCGGGATGCCTACTCAAGATATTATTCCGTAATTCATTTAGCATCGAAATCAGCTGCATGTGATAAGCTGATTGAATGGATCTTAGAAACTGAGAATCATTTCAAGTCAAGAGGGGGATTTAAGGTGGGTGCCATTCGCACAGATAATGGACGTGAATTTATGTCTAGTAAATTTCATAATTTCTGTAAAAGCAATGGAATTTCCCATCAATTAACTGTTCCATACAATAGTTTTCAAAATGGAGCAGTTGAGAGATCTCATCGCTCGATTGAAGAAAAAACAAGATGCCTTTTAATCGGAGGCAAGGTACCTCCTTCTATGTGGACAGAGGCTGTAAGTACTGCTGTATATCTCTTAAATAGGTTACCAGTATCTAATAAAAATTATTCTATCCCTTACTGTCTCTGGAACAATATTCAAACAGAAAATCTAGATTTATCACATCTACGTATATTTGGATGTGCTGCATATGCTACATTACCTCATCAATTACGTGACGGGAAATTTGCTCCTACTAGTGTAAAATGTGTGTTTGTTGGATATGACTCCAAACACAAAGCATACCGTCTCTATCATCCTCCTTCTAAGAAAATTTTTGTATCAAACCAAGTTCGCTTTGATGAACTTGATTTCCCACTTGCAGGTACCAAAGAAGTTGAAGTGGCTCATACATTTGCCACTGGTACTTTAGGTGGTGTCCCAGTTTATCCTTCATCTACTGATATTTTCAAAACTTCATCTTCTGAAATACAAACGTCAAATTATTATCCTGAAACTACTGATTATCCTATATATGAAAACAACTTAGAAAATGAATTAACCACCATACATGGTGATGAGGTTCTAGATCAAGGTACTAGTCGATACTCCACTCCGTATCTATCATCTGTTGATTCTGATTCTTTTATGTTCCGAGTTGATTCATCTGACAATGATAAGCACGAATATGACTCCTCTTCCTCTGATGAATATGAACTACCATCTACTTCCTTCTCTTCTTCTCCTATTTCTACGACTTCTGACTGTGAAAATTTTACTTTCAACAACCTTGATTCATCCTCTATAAACAATGAGTCAACCGCCTCATTCTCCTCACATAATTCTAATCAAATAAACAAGAAGGAAGCAGAAGAACTATCATCAATTGCTTCATCCTCTGATACTGACTCTTCAACTACTCCAACAGCTGTTCCAGTAACTACTCAACAATTAACATCTACCATTGATGATACCCACTCCGACACATCTTCTCCTAATCTACAATCCAAATCCTTATCAACTGATAATTCACCGGTTTATAACTTAGAAGACTTAGATCCCCATAAACCATTAAAAAATAGTAAAATTGAATTAGCTGACAATATTTCCGCCCCTATCACCACACATGTTAGCAAGTTGAATGGCCAAACATCCTCAATTGTTAATCATAACAAGTTAGGTCCTATTCCTGCTTCTGAATTCTACTTAAATCATCAAATTGAGAAACACCATCCAAAGTGGGATTCTAATCCAATTAGTCCTGGTAAAATTGGTACCCCTGCTGTTGAGGCTGTTAATATTGACTCCGGCAGTTTTGTTCCTATGAACTCCATGGATGGTCTCACCCAACTCATTAGAACACCGGTATTCCCTTCTTCTCAATCATCTGGCTCTGATGATAACTCTTCACATCACATAGCCTTGACTGCGTTGGTACATGGCATGTCCTTTACGTCTACCACTACTTCTGTCCCAAATACATTCAACCAGGCAATGAGTTCATCAGATAAAGATAAATGGTATCAAGCCTGTCTGAAAGAACTTCAAGCTTTTAAAGATCATGATACATATAGGTTGACTCCTCTCCCTCCTGGTCGTCGTGCCTTGGGGTCTCGTTGGGTGTTTAACATTAAGGACGGAAATCGGTTTAAAGCTCGTTTAGTGGCTCAAGGACACACTCAAAAAGCTGGCATCGACTATCAAGAAACCTTTGCTCCTGTGGTGCGGTATGATTCTGTCCGTATCTTTCTTGCTATCTCTGCTCTCCTTAATCTCCGTGTTCACCAAATGGATGTAGACACTGCCTTCTTAAATTCCAAAATGGAAGAGCCGGTTTACGTTCGTCAACCTCCAGGTTTTGTTGATCCTGTGCATCCCAATCACGTGTGGCAGCTTTACGGGGGTATGTACGGATTAAAGCAAGCCCCACTACTATGGAACACGCATATTCATAAAACATTATCTAGGAGAGGATTTACTCGTCATGATGGAGAATATGGTATTTATTTTAAAAATGTAGACAACTTTAAAGTATTGATTGCACTTTACGTTGATGACCTTTTAATTGCTGCTCCAAATAAAGATATTATGAACTCTGTGAAAGCAGGGTTAAACGAAGCTTATTCCATGAAAGATCTTGGCCCTGTTTCTAAATTTTTGGGAATGAATGTTTACCAAGATAACCTGAACAATATAACCATCTCAATGGAGGACTATATTACCAAAGCTGCTCAGAGCTGTCAAATAGACTTAAATAAAAATGTGGAATTTCCATTATCTAACACAGCCAATTACTTTGACACAGAATCTCCAGCAATTGCCAATATCACTGAATACCAAAGTATTGTAGGCCAGTTGCTATTTGTTAGCAACGTTGGACGGCCTGATGTAGCTCACTCTGTTCAACTACTATCACGGTTCCTCAAAGATCCTAGAGAGGTGCATTTAAAAGGTGCTTACAGAGTTATGCAATATTTATATAAAACCAAAAAACTAGGATTGTCTTATAATACAAGATCCAATAAATATCTTGAAGGATTCTCAGATGCATCTCATGGAAATAAGAATGATTTGAAACATGCAACTGGTGGGTTTATTATAAAACTTGCTGGTGGAGTGGTTACATGGTCTTCCAAGAAAATTACAAGCGCAGTTTGTCTATCATCTACTGATGCAGAATACATTTCTGCTAGCAACACAAGCAGGGAATTAATTTGGATAAAAAATATGTTGAATCACATGAAAATAGATGTAAACGAAGTTAAATTATGGATAGACAATGAACCTGCCATTCACGTAGCTAAAAACCCTGTCTTACACTCAAAAATGAAACATGTTAACCTTCACTATCATTTCATCAGACACCAAGTAGAGTCTGGTATTATTGAAATTGGTCACATAAATACAACTGAACAAATTGCTGATATAATGACAAAAGTTTTACCAAGACCTGCCTTTATAAAAGTCCGAGATTTATTCATGAAGAAAATAGAACAGGAATTTAGCTTACGGGGGTGTGTTGAAATATAATTATTAGAGCTATGTTTGATAATCTAAATTCATCGTACTAAGTGATTAAAAGTTATGAAAATTTATAGTAAAGAAGATTCAAAGATAAAATGAGTATACTGTATAATATTGTATCTTGTATATTACTTATATAGAAAGAAAAGGACTAAGCAATAAAATAACAATTTATAGTACCACTAACTTCCTACTATAAATAATAATAGAACTTATAATACCACCAATATCCTATTGTAAGTTACATTATCTTATTATATTAGTTTAAAATGAACTCGACTAGAATTTTTGATTCTGAAGCCTTGCGTCAACAAAATTTATATCTTTTTTTTAAACAAGTATTTTTGTTTATTTATTCATATGAATTTATTTAAAATTATAAAAAAAATTAAAAAGAAAAACGCTATAGATCTGGAAATAATTGAATTATATAACTTCTAAATAATATACACTGTAATAAGATGTTTTAGCATAAGAAAAATAGACCAAATTATACTTTAGTAAATATTAAAAAATGAAATATTGAGTATTTAATGATTACAAATTTAACTTTTAATGGAATTATTTCATTCTTTTATGTCCTCTGCAAAAGAGAATTAACAAAACTTGACATAGATAAACTCAAGAATTTTTCATAACATATTTTTTACTTCATTTACGTTTTTTCTATATGTTCTAGTTTCTATATTATGTATAAAAAGGAAATAGAAAGAACCTTTCTTTTATTTTTATACTGTTAACTAGATGCTAATTATAATTAAAAGAGTACCCAACATCTCTATTATACATATATACTACTTCTCAACATAACACGATTCTAACGACTCTTCTTTTTGCAAGAAAACATTTTAAAAAGTATCAAAAAAAATTAATTTCACTTGTAATTTCTTTTTGTTAGTTGCTGAATAGAAATCCAAAACTCGAAAATTCTTTTTTACTGTTTTTTTGGAACGTGTCTCAGACTTATAAATAATTTTTCTTCTTATGTTAAATAAGAAAATTTCCAGGATTAATTTGTATACGAGTATAATTTAATTACAAAAAACAATTTACTTCCATAATTTTTATGAACATTTTTTTCTGTTCTATATCTTCTCTCCTATCAACAAAGATATAATAAAAACAGGCTACTATTCATTAAAACATGTTCTAAAAAATCTAATTCAACAAACATCCTATTAATATTTGTATAAGTAACAAAAAACCAAGAATCTCTTAATATAAATGATTTTATCTACATCTTATAATATCTGCTCAGTTATTATCAAGCGTTAAGCAAAAAAACTTACATTTAACAGATGGAAGAAAAGGTCAGTTACTGGAGGATACAAAAGGAAAACCGCAGAAGGGAACGACAAAAAAAAAAAAGAACAGTTTATGATATTATAGCTGCTACTCCATTATTGATTCACAGATATTTTGAATACCCAAACATTAAGTCAATCGAAAACAAACCATTTCTAAAGAAACCAGGAATTTTAGTGATAAGCCCAGTAATCCATTAAAACCGGCAAATAGTGTGATGTCCAAATTTAGTGAAGCTACTAAAAATGATGACCGATTAACTAGCTATTCCGACTGGATCCGATATCAGAAATCAAGACAGGAAAATAATAAAAAAAAAAAAACACATGCAATTGTGAATTAATTTTTTGTGACATGGCTATTGTATACACGTTTACGTATTAATTGCAATATAGCGGAACAATACCAGTTTATTTTTATTTGTCCATTTGTCCATTCCCTTTTTAGTGAATCTCGAGATATTTTAATGATTTTCTAATTTTCTATACTTTTTCGCTACACTTATTTTTATTTTCTCGCATAAAACAATAGGTCCATAGTAACATTTTTTTCATCATAAAAAATTCGCTTTATTTTTATTTTTTTATTTTTCTTTTTTCTTTTCTTTTTTTTTCTTTTTTTTTCTTTTAATTCTAGTCAAATATTCCTCTAAGACATGTGCAATACTAATTAGTTGTAGATGTAAGTTTTTAGTAAAAAATATCGCAATCCCATTATACTTTGGCCAAAATAATACTTCCACATTTGAAAATTCTATGGATTATTTTCAAAGAAAGATCAAAATCTCCAGTTTAAAATAACAATGCATCTATTATTGGATATACCCGGTAGAACTTTAGTCTACTAAATATAGTTCAAAGAAAATTCTAGACTCTTCTTGAAACAAGAAAACTTAAGAGAGTAATCACGTTATTTTCAAAACAATACAGTATTATGCAACAAAATAATAGGAAAAAAATTAAAAATACAAAAATAGAGATTCCCTATCTCTCTAAGACTTTTTATAAAGTCATTCACTGTGTACTAAAAGGGAAGTTTAAACATTCTTGGAAAGTGGCACCATTTTATGTACTCTTTTTTGTTGAAATATGTCCCTTTTGGTGCAATGTCGAACTTTTCAAGATCAAAACCGCAGGAGTAAAATCATGCCCTTGCTATTTTATTCCAATTAAATGCTTTCATCTGATGTTCTAATAATATTTTAAAGAATATCCAAATAAAAAATTAAAAGAGCGATTTTCTTCTTGCATTATTAACGCTCTAAGCATACTAATCAGATCATTTGTTTTTTCTTATATTTAGGCTCATCTTTTTTTTTAAGACTATTTAAACGAGGAACTCAAAAAAAAAGTTTCACATGTTAAGAAGACGAAGGAAAAGATTGTAATATTCACGCCCCCACGGTACTTTTTTCCCATTGTAAAGCTTTTGAGGTTAATATTTGAGGAAAAATATGACTTTTAAAAGTCATCTACTAATATTATGCACATGCAACAAATCAAAAAATATGTTACAATTTTTTAGAACTATAATTATTTGTACTATTATTACTAAACAATTAAATCCCCATATTTTTGGTTAATATTTTTTCAAGGAAAAAAAAATTAATAATTAATCTTTTAGATGTTACTTGAACCACCAAAGCGTAGAGCAATAGCACTGTATATAATAAATACAATCATTAAAATCATTGTTCATTACTTTCTTGTTATATGTTAAAATAGTGTAAGGTATTTTACTATCTATTTTTCTACTTACAATAAATGCTAAGTTTAACCCTTTTCAAATGTACAATATGGAAAAAAATAATTTTGAAGATTTATTAATTACAAAATATATAAAGTATGTGCAATGAAGTCTAATTAAAAGAACCATGTTAAAAATATGCGTAGGATCTATTCAATTATAATGGAAATCCTGAAGAATAGTGTTATTTGTATTTGATACTGTCATGATTTAGCTTATTAGTAAGTTGGATCTCTAATTCATTAAAAACCTGCAAAAATAATGTACATAATTATATATTATATTTATACGTAAATACAACTTGTTCCCTCTTCTTTTAATTCTCTTTTTAAAAGTTTTTTCCTTGAAAAAAAAATTTCTCTTTTAATTATCATTATTAACGACATAATAGAACAATCTTTAATAAAGAAACCTAATAGACATACTGTCTATGCTCTAACACAATTATTATAGTTATGTATTCATAATGTACAAAACTATGTTTAAGTTTATCTATCTTTTTCTATGTGTGTAACACAGAGATGATGGTGTATAAAAAGTCTACAAGGGTAAAACATGTTGAAGTAAGGTTAGAGATATATGTGATAATCCAATTTCTTTGTATCAAATGACTGAAACTTTTATAGTAACTTATAAAAGAAAAGCTAAAATAAAATGTGGTATAGTATAAAGTATATACGTATATCAAGTATGTAGAACAAAATAAAGCGAATAATACAATAACAATTTATGGTATCACTACTATCATACTGTAAATATCCAAGAACTTATAATACCACCAATATTCTATTGTAAGTTATATTTTCTTATTATATTAACCTAAAATGAATGTTAATAGAATTTTTGATACTGAGGCTTTGTGTCAACAAAATATGTCATGAAAAAACCATTAGCTTTGTATATATTCATATTGGAGATTTTTCTTCCATGGGTGACAAGACTTTATTAATTTGTTTTTTTATATCTATTAAAATGTAAATAATATCTACTCTAAATTGTGGTATAGATTTATAATTGGTAAAATCTAACTAGATTATTTATTTTATTAAATACTATTGGATTTCAGCAAACATAATCATCGACATACAAAATTAATATAATATTCTTTCCCTTTTTGTATTCATAATAAAGAAATATTTATATAAAATAGTGTAAACCAAAATAAAAAATATAACATGAGGAAAATTTCGACTTTAATATATATAATCATTAATTAACGTTCCATACAATCAATTAAAAAACTAAGTCAAATTTTTTTTTTGACATATAGTGATTTGTAAACGGTAATTACTCATCATTCAATTGTTTGGCAACTATTGAAATCTTATTATTCTATATATTTAATGTTAGAACAGTCTAGTTCAGTCATTTCGCTGAATAAAAAAATCATTTTTTATATATAGAAAAGATAACTAAGTTGAGAAAAGTAATTAAATAGTAAGATATATAAACATACATGCTATTTATTTATTTTTGGTCATGACATAAGGGAAAAAAAGAAGAAATATACATTAAGTTTCTATCCACTATCAATGAAAATAGTAACTAAAGTCTTCAAACAAGATATATCCCTATTTTAACATTTTGCCATGCTCTATAACATAGAAGAGATTAATTATTGACGAGAATGAGCGCCTATAGTCATTGGGTATATAGTAAGCATTCTCAATATTATATTAGATAGATTTAGTATACAAAATTATAATAAAGTTCTTTGGCAATATTTACAAACAAAAATCAAACAAAAAGAACACTAACTAGATAATATAATGCAAAATAAAATTAACCATTATTCATTTATCATTATTATTGTTAAAATGCGGACATTAGTGTTATGGCCCTTACTAGGATTACTTGTGACTTAAGTAAGTGCTGCTACTACCACTATTTCAACACTAACAACCTTGTCTGGTGATCAACCATTTTCCAATGATATTGTAATTGAATCGGGCGCTACTTTTACGTTGGTATCAGGCTCTTCATATTCTTTCAACGGTAATATTAATGTTAAGGGTTCTTTAGACATTATTGGTGATTTAAAAAACGAGTTAACCAGTTTACAATTTGGTTCTACTACAACAATTACAAATAATGGTAACATCAACACTGAAAATATTAAATCAGCAAATTCTGTCACTGATTTCGTCATTGCCCCAGATCATATCGATAACTCTGGTACATTTACTGTCTTATAATTAAAGATTGCTGCTATTGTACCAGGTATTATTGACTATGATACAGCGGATAAAGGAGGTACCATAAATAAGTTCCTTTATTTTGGTACTATAACTAATAATGGTGTAATTAATTCTGGTAGACTTCCTCAAATAATATTCAACTAAAAATTTTTTATTTGTAATAAATAAGATATGAAAGGTATAATCTTCAATACTCCTCTCAAAGGTCATGGTGGACTCATTGGTACTAAATAGGCCACTATTCTCTTTAACGCAGCTATTATTGGAAAAAAAAAAATTCCAATGTTCACGTGGGTATGCATATTATTAATTCAAAAGTTGCGCCATGTTCATTTAAAGGTATGAATTTTATTGAATCAAATTTTTTTTCTTAGATGTAGACTATGATATAAAATTTGCTGAAAAACCTTGTGCCTTACCAGGTATTATAAATCCTAATTTTGCAACAGAGAATTACTGTTACTGATTGAACGCTAGTTGTTTACATAATTTAAAGTGAGTGTGTAATTAGTTTTCTAGTACATCATCTAGGTCATTCTATCAAATTAGGAGTTCATTCGTATATAGATTCTTCTTATGAATATTGTCCCATCTGTCCATAGAGATATTATAAAGTCAGCAATAATTATTATTACTGAACACCTGTGACTTCAACTAATGAACTCCTTAGATTTATAGTCCACATGTTTCTTGATTGCTTTTGTCTGTATATACTACGTAATCATATACGTATATAAGTTGTGTGTAAATAAACTTCTTGGGTTTTGTTCTTTTCTCTTTTGAAAAAAATTTTCATCCATTATTTTTTCATACATCCAAACATCACATATAAGTTTGTCCTCATAAAAAAACCTTAATTAATAAAAAAATTTCTTTAATATACAAAAATTATGATAATTCTTGGAAAGTAGTGATATTGTGGTTTACCAGATTTATGACTTAAGTTATTAGTAAACTGAATCTCTAATTTATTAAAAAATTTATAAAAATAATATATAAACTTATATATTATTTTTATTACAGAATGAACAGTATACCCACTAAGTTATTTTTATTAAAGACTGTTTTTTATTACATCCTTAAGGATGATAATTAAGAAAAAAAAAGAAGGATCAATTTTTATTTATGTATGAACATACTATATAATATTGAATGCCATTTCTATATGTTTTTTAACAAACTAGAGATCCACTTTATTAATAATTTAAATTATAAAAAAGGATAAACCAAAATACCATCACTTTCCACGAATGTTTATACATAAATGCAAATTAATCCTTCTTCTCTTTGATCATCATTCTTGATGACATAATAAAAAATAGTCTTCAATAAGAATAATTTATTGAGCATTTTATCCATTTTCTAACACAACTTCATAAAGAGTATTTTTATCTTTCATGACTAAAACCAATTTTAGTAAAAGTCATGCTACTCTCCTTATTCAGTCATTAGAGGTCCGCCCCTAACTCTATGCCATGCTTAGCATACTAGTTAACCCACGCCATCTCTTTAATTGAAATTTCTGCTAAGTTATTTTTTTCCAAAGTTTTTGTTATATGCACTTGTTTGTTTAAATTATATGCTATCAATTTTAGTTGGTACGCCTCTCTTTCAAATAGAAATTCTTTATTTTAAACTTCTTTGGACTTTTGGTTGTGTATTTGCAATTATTATCTATACTGATATTTTGATACTATCTGTCTCACAATTATGTTCATATTTTCTTTTTGTAAAAGGCCCTTCTATAAAACATCGCCTATCTCCTGTTGTAACACTCAATTAATTTATTTTTGTCACCTTGTATATCCATATTATTCTCTTTTTTATTATTTATGGTTCTTTCTCTTGTTTCATTCTTGTCATCTTTTTATAAAGACCGTTAGTTTGTTCGTGGAGATTTTCTTTCTCTTGATAATCATCGTCAATATCTTTATGTTTCTTCTCATCAGTACTTCATCAAACAATATTATCTGATAATTTCTTGTTGAATGCTTGTTTAATATTTCTTTTTTTTTTGTTTAAAATTTTACTTGATTTCAAGTGTTTTCCTTTTCTATACCTAACTCTACCATGTAGAGAGGTTTGTAATTTATGGTTATTTTCACATTTACCTACATTATCATCACCCCATGTTATCTCTTTATCTGGCTCTCAACTTCTATGTTTTTCGTTTTAAAAATTGATATTGTGAATCTGTATTCACTATTATTTCTTCTTTAGAACCATCAAATATTTGTTTTTCATTAGTTAATGCTCTCACCAGCTTTTTTATTTTCTTTTATTTCTTCAACCATTTTAATACCATACTCCTTAGCTTTATTAATTTCATTTTCGATTATATGTTCATCTATATCTTCCTCAATTATTGTCTCAGAATTTAATAAACTCACAAATATTTGTGTTTTTTCTTCATTAATATCAGTATTCTTATTATCATCCTTTTTGATTCTTTATAATTCATAATTTACACGATCATTTTTCTTGGACATATCATGTTGTGATCTTTCTTCATTGAGTTCATCATCACAGTTATAAAAGAGAAGACCATTGATATTAGTTGTTGTTAATTCATCTATATCTTCAATTGCTTTCATTACCAGGTGTTCTAACAAAATTTCATCTAATGACATGTGTCGAATATCAGCTAGATCCAAACCTTCATCGTCTTATATTTCGTTATTGTCGTCTAACTCATCATAAATTATACCTATAATGCTGATTATCTCATCAACTGTAAAATCTATATCTTTGTTTTCTCCTATTTTCTTTTCTAATTCTTTATTGTATAAATCGATCATAATTTCATAGTTCCTTGATATATATGATAAGTGATTTATAGTAGAAAATAACATAAAATATTCAGTTATAAGTATCATCTTCTTTGTTCAGAGAACTAATCTCAGTATTGATGGCATTTTTAATTTGCTTTTGATTGGATCTCATAACAAGAGAAGTGCACCCAACGGTAAAAGTGATATATGTTGTACAGCTGGTTTGATATTTGAAATTAATCGCAATGGAGCCTCATGAATTGTCCTGTTAAAGAACAGTTTCTGATATTCGCTGCATTCTAGATTGAAGTAACATCATTCTTGCATCAGTGATGATTGTACGAATGTTCCTCTCCGCTCTCGCGTTACTAGAATGGCCTTGAATTGGAGTTAATATTAATTGAATACCCAATTCCTTCAAGACTTCCTTTAACTCTACATTTGTAAATTCAGTGCCTTTGTCACTGATAATTAGTTTTACTCTTCTATCAAATTGAGTTTCCACAAATTTGATATTACGTAGTATTTGGGGTTTAATTTCTTTAGCTTCCCTACAACAATGAGTAGAAATTATTATGTATTTTGATACATTCTCTACCAATAATAACATATATCTATCCTGTTTTACTTGTAGACCTTTTATTGAACCGAATATGTCAACTGACCATGATTCGCCTGGTAATTTATTGTAGTAGTTCATAACGTTCTTGTAGTGAAAATGACGAGCCAATTTTCCAGATATACATGTAGCATACCAATCTTCTTCTTCCTTTACATTTTTATATTACATACATCCTCATAGATATTTTTCTTGACCCTTTCTGTAATAAGTCTCTTCGACATATTATTCAATCTAATATGTGCTACTTCTAATGCTATGATTGGTTTCTGTACAACTGGATTTTCTGGCCTGATATAATACACTTTACCTTTTGGAATATCAATAATTTCTTCTATTTTTACCCAAACAGAATCATTTTTTATTAATGTATTTATTCTTTCACCTTCAGAGATTTCTAAAATATTATATCCTTTTAGGAAGGGAAATTTTGTTTCTTCATACAATTTAGATGCTGATAGTATGGTGATTTGTTCCTGAGGAATATAATATGTTTGAACCAGTACCATATTTTCTTTATTTTTCTTAGTTGGTAGAAATCCTGATCTCACAATAGTCAAGTCTTTCTTTGACCCAATTACTCCATATCTAAGTGCATTTTTAACCGTATGATAATTCTTTGGCCAATTTCTTTGATTCGTTATATGAATGGGTGATTACGAGAACTTAGTCCTAATGGGTGGTTCTATATCTGTTTGGACTAAGTTCATGTTATTTAATGATTTTTTATACCACATTTATTTATTTGTCCTAAAAAAGTGGTGGTATTTTGGTTTACCTTATTTATAACTTAAGTCATTAATAAAGTAGATCTCTTATTTATTAAAAACATATAAAAATAATATTCAATATTATATAGTATGTTTATACATAAATACAACTTTATTCCTTCTTCTTTTTAATTCTTTTAAATAATATTTTTTTTGTTCTAATTATCATTCTTGACGACATAATAAAAAAATCTTTAATAAGAAAACTTAATGGATAACAGATATACTATCCATGTTTTAACAATAATAATTCCAGCATTTACTGAGAATTTTATTACTTAATCTACCACTATTTTAACTATAATAACTGCTACAACCAATCAGTATGGTTATAATATAGCTGAAGTTATTTATGAAGTTGTTATGCCTGCACTATCTACTAGCTAGGCTACTATATTCACTGACAGCAATGGTTCTTTTTTTTACCAAGATTGCTACTGTCATCCTTATATAGGATGCATGCAGTAGCTTCATGACATCACCGGTATCTTTATCTTCTCCTCTATACAGAAACTCCACTATTCCTAGCGAAAAGACCAAATATACTTTAAGCGGTACCTCAGTAGTATTAACTACAGTGGTTCATGGAGTTACAATAACTACAACTTATTGTCCAGAGCCATCTGCAACTTCTGAAACAAGTATTACTGCTATAATTGACCATATTTCCATTGAATCTGTTTATACTAATTCAAAGAACGAATAAGAAGAGACTAATTCATTTTCTACTATGTCTAATGCAATTCCAGTTGCTTCTATTGTTTCCACCACCACTGGCCCAACATTTACAAACAGTGAAAATCAACCAATATCTAGAAACTCTAAAACATCTACTAC